TTATATATAGGTATAACTACTTGTAAGAGAAATATAAGGTTAATATTATATATATTGCTTTTTAGATACCTATTTTTTAATTTTACAAAAATTACACTGTATTTTATGTTATTCCAGTAAATAATAGAGTAGACTACTTCTGATTAATGCTGTATGCTGTAAATACTTTATAATTATAGTATATAAAATATCTCTTTAATATCTTTAAAGCTTGTTGAGGTATGAGCGTACAAAAAAACGCATTTTGTATGGTATTCTAGTGATCGGAACAACCGGGTGATCGAAACAGCCGGGAAATACGTTATTTGTATAAAAATAAACTTAAAATTTCTTACTTTAATACCTATTTAGTAGTTTTATTTTTTATTTTTTTATAGTAATAAAAAAGCTTTTATTTAAAAAGACTTATAAAATTATAAAAATCTATAAAAAAATTTAAGCTTAAATCGTTAAACTAAGTTATTAAAAAGCTAATAATAATTATATATAACTTTAAATCTAAATAAAAATATTAGCTTAACTAGTTATTAATTTATAATTATATAAATAAAGACTAATATAAAAATGAAATATAATAATACGAATATTATAAAGATTTAGAATAAATTTTATAAATAATTATATATCTAATTTTAAATAAATATAGTATGATAGGTTTTTAAATATATTTTTAGTTATAATTTAAAAATTAATAATCTAACTAGGTAAATTAATTTATATTATTAATTATAACTAAAAACTAATAGTTTTTAATTTATAAATCTTTATATAGTATTTTTAATAAAAATTATTAATTTTAAATATTTTCATATATTTAAAAATCTTAAATTTATTTAGATTAAAGTTAATTAAAAATAAAATATAAATCATGTTTTATAATAGTATATAATTATTTTAGAATAAAATAATAAAATTTAGAACTATATAAGTATAATATTAAAAACCCTTTCTAAAATAATAAAATATTTTATAATTATAAGCTTATAATAAATAGAGATTAAAAATTATTGAAAAGTTATATTAAATATCATTTAATAGTACTTTTTCTTTAAAAATTACTATTAAAATATTATAAAGAATACGAATAATATACACCTTAAGTATATTAAAATAGTATTAATATAAAAATATAATAAAATAGTTATCTAAATAGTCTAAGGCTAAATTTTAAAAGATTAAGATCTTAAAATACAATATTATAAAAATAATTTTATTTTTATTTATATTATTATTTATTACTACTCTTTTAAAACACTACTATCTCTCTAAAATAAGCTATAAATTAGATATATATATAATAATAGTAAAATCCTTAATCTAGACTTTACAATATATTATAAGCCTTAGGAAGCTCTAAGCCTCTGAAAAAGATATAAATATAACTATTCTAAAATCTTAATTACTTTTTGCTATTAAAAATACCTCTTTTTATAGTTATAAATATAGCTAATTATCTTTATAGCTACTATAATAAATTAAGATTCTTTTTGAATAATTATAATACTAGCTAACTTAATATTATAAAGTATTTAGTCTAAACTCTCTAAATATTTATAAATAACCCTCTAAATTCTAGGTAAAACTTCTTTATTATTATATTAGGTCTTTAGCCCTTTAATAAGTATATTATTTAAATAAATATTATAATTATACAATATCTTATCTTTTAAAATCTGCTTTATAATCTATATAAATTCTAGTACTATATTATATTAATCTAATTTTAAGGAAATCTTATCTACTATATAAGTCCTAAAGGTATATATAAAAGGCTATTATATCCTTAGACTTTTTATTAAAAGGGACTTTATTATATTTAAAAAAGAAATCTATTAAAGAAGATTTTTGTAAAGGAATATATATTAGTTTTTATCTACTAGTTCTAATAAAGAAATTTAAAAGGATTAAAAATACATATTATTTTAAGTTATATATATTCTTATGCTAATTTTTTAGACCCTAATTCTTATACTAGGATAATAAGCTAGATAAATTTTTAATAAATATAAGGCTATATAAAGGAATATAATAATTATATATTAAGAAAGGCATTAATATCCTCTTATATAGCTTCTTCTACTTCTTTTTATATAGGTAGGTATCTAGAAAGCTTATCTATAGCTATATTCTAATTACTAGGTATATATTAAACTATAAAATTAAATAAATAAATCTAAGTAATCTAATAAATTATAATAGATCTAGGTAGATCTATAGCTATATAATTTAATTAAGCTATAAGTATCTTTATATCTATTTTTAAAATAAATCCTATAAGATAAGAGTAGAACTTCTTTAGTAACTTTAATATACTTTCTATAGAATATTATATTTCCTCTTTATTATTAGCCTAGATTCTACTCTTAAATTATAATAGATATCATTTATCCTTTTTTAATTATATTAAAATAGCCCCATAACCTTTATTATAATTATATATTTAAAGTAATTTTAGAGTGATAAAAGAGCTTCTAATAAAAAAAAGAAATATAATACTTAATTAAGGATAAGTATTAGTTAGAAGAGTCCTTAAAAATTACTTAATTTTTAATAACCCTAAAAAGGCCTAAAGGGATAAGTACTTTAGAGTTTTATTATTTTAATACTATATAACTCTTTATTTAGGATATTTTAATAAATAAAGAAGAATATACTAATAAAAAGTTATAATTTAGTAAAGAGGAAATAAATTTTAAGGCTTTATATAAGGAATTAGGGTATTAAAGATAAAAAATAATATATTAAAAAATAAAATATTCTTTTTTACTTATTTCCTTTTATTCTTATACTTATAGCTTTACTTTAGTCTTGCCTTTGCTTTTTATTTTATTTTTATTTTAGACTATTATTTAAGAATCCCTTTACTCTAATCTTTAAAAACATATTAATATTAATATGCCCCTAAAGGGCTCTATATAATATGGTTAAGGTAGTACTCCTTAGTAGAGTTTTGCCTAGTTATACTAAAAGGTAATAAATATAAATATAGAGAGGGCTTTATTTAGAACCTAAAAAGAATAGTTATTATAGGTTATATAGTATCCTATATAACCTATTATAAAAGGAGGCAATATTAATCTAAGAGCATTAAGCCTATTATTATTAATATTAGGAGAGGTTACTAAGATTATAAAAGAAATTATAGGATTAGCTCCCAAAGGGTATAATTAAATAGAAAATAATATAGGAGATAAACTATTATTTATATTATAGAAAGGTACTATATTATAAGAGCCAGAAATATAATCTAGGAATAGCTGGTTTAGATTAGAGAATAAGTACTATTAATGGTATACCTACACCTTTTTAATAGCTATCTATTAATAGACTAATAGTACCTTTTATTAGAAATAATGAAGATACATTAACCTCTACCATAGCTATTTTAATATTATTACCTATTACCTTAATAAAGGCTGTCCTAACTACTAACCTAATTCTTATAGACAGAAAAGGGTTCTAAACCCTAAATAAAGCTATAAATTACTTTAGGCAGTATCTTTAAGATACTAGTAATAAAGAATTATATAAGGCTTTATATATGAAAATAGTAGTAATATTATTAGTCTAAGCCTAAATATAGTAAAATAATACTCCTATTAATTAGTTTATAAGATTTATTAAAAAGTAGGTAAATTTTAAATAGCTAAAAGCTAATAATAAAGAACTTTAAACTAACTTAAGAGAGCTACTAAATATATTAAGGAGAATTAAAAGAGTACCTAAAGGAATTAGGAATATATAAAAGGAGTTTAAGGAGAAGATATTCTATTATATTTATAATTAATATTAGTAAGGAAAAGCTTTATATATTATTATAATGTCCTAGTAATAACCTATTATTTAGAATAAGAGAGAGTATATAAGATAATTAATTTGTCTATTATAGAGTATCTAATAACCCTGAAAAAGGTAGATATTAGCTCCTTTAACTTATTATAGTAGATATTAAAGAGCAAAAGATTAACTAAATAATAAGTTAAAGATTCTAATAAAGGAAGAGCTAAGTTAGTTTAAACTAAAGAAAAATAAACTTAGCTTTTATTATACCTCTAGACTTAGAGTTTATTCTAGATTAAATAGCTAAGAAAGTACCTAAGCTTAGTAATAAAGAGTAAAGAGTATAAGTCTATTATTTAAATATAGATCCTTAAGGCAGCTTATATAAGGTCCTTATATAAATAGGAGTAAAAAAGGTCTATTAAACCTTAATAATCTATATAAATTATTTCTTAAAGGATAATACCTTAAGAAGATAGGAATAATAATATAAAATAATAAATAATAAGTATAAAGTAAACCCCTAATAAGTAAAAAAAGCAGACTATAATTATTAAAATAATAGCATACTTACATAAACTAAATCTAGATATACTATATACTTTCTAGTATAGACTTTATAAATTTACTTTTAAGAGAATAGTAAGAGGTTTTATAAAATAAAAATATTATATAGGTACCTACCATTAATAATTTTTATTATTAAGAATAACCTAAATATTTTATTTACTACTTAGGCTAAATAATATAAATAGTTAACAGAATAATAGCTATACCTATAATAGTTTAGAGTATTAAAAGAAGTTGTAAGGTATTTAAGCTAAAGAGATTTTTAATTATATTATAAATTAGGAAAAAAATAATTAAAAGGCCTTTAGTAATTAGCTAAGTAATATTATTCTTTAGTATCTAATATTACCTCTTTAGAGATAAGGACTAGCCTAAGAGATAATACTAGTCCTATTATTTATATATATAGTAGTAAGGGGAAACCCTTAATAACTAAAGGTTCTAGGAGCTAGTATAATTAAAAAGAATACCTAATGCCTAAAAGTAATAACCTCTAATAGTTATACTAGGAATAGGAAAATAAAGGCTAAAAAGGAGATATAAAATACTTTTTTTATATCTATTTATATACCTTTTATAGGCGCTATTATAGAAGTATTATAAGGCTAGATTAAATAGAAAAACCTATAGTTTTATAAAAACTTAATATACTCTTTTATAATAAGTTATCTAAGTTTTAAAGAGTAATTAACTTATATTATACTTACTTTAAGGCCTTTATTAGAATAGAAGTAAATAGGCTAAGTTTAAAATAAAAAAAGAACTATTTAAAGAGTAATTAGCCTTTTAGCTTTTAAAAAAGAATAATAAATATATTAAAAAACTATATAATAGTAAGAGACTAAGAGTAGTAGAGTTAGAGGAGATTAAAGAGGAGGAAGAGTCTAAATTAGGAAGTAATAAGAAGTTAGATAAAGAAAGAGTTTTAAAAAAGGAGTTAGATAAGGAATTAATATAAAATCCTAATAGTCTAACCCTTTTAAGCTAAAATAAGTCTAGTTTAACTAATATAAGGCTATATATTACCTTATATAATCTTTATTGAGATTATTATTATAGAAAGTACTATAGATAGTTAAGATTAGGTTATTGATATAGATAAAAAAATTATTTTTATAGTTCTAAAGCATATTATTCTTTTTTTACTAGATTACCTATATTACTTACTATTTTCTTATATTTAAGTAAAAAGTTCTTTATAAGTTTCTTTTTTACCTTTATCTAGTTTTATTCTTACCTCTTATTAATAAGGATATTAATATTCTAAAGGGGGGAGGGAAATATAATAGGGAAGTATATTATATAATTATTTATTAATTTAAACAGTCTCTTTACTTAGTTAAATAAAATAAAAAAGAAGTTTTTTCCTTCCTTTTTAGATCTTTAGTTTTATAATTAGCTTTACTTAAAAAGAGCCTTAATTAAGGTATTCTAAGTTTTAAATCTATCTTTAGTGAGGTTTACTTTTAGTAATAAAAGAGTCTTAAAAACTTTTACTAGAGTAAGATTTTAATATCTTTAGTAAATCATAAGGGATTATTACAGAATCCTGGTTTTCTTCTTAAGGCTTATTATATAGTAATACTATACTAATTCTTTGGCTTACTCCTGGCTGGAGCTTTTAATTGAAGTCCCTTTCAACAGTAGGAGTATAATTAGAAGTAGTATGTTATTAACTATCTAAATAAGAGTAATACAGTAGATAGAGTTAGCTAGTTACTAATCTGCTAGTTCAGAAGTCATATAATAATTATATAATATAAGCTTAAGGCAGGAACAGAAGGAAGAATATTTTTCTAATAGATGCTAAGACTAATATAAATAGACTAGTAGACTTCTATATAGATAGTTTTTATAAACTTCTGCAACCTTCTGCACCCAATGTTATCATAATTGTAGATTTTCGCCAAATTAATATTATATTAAAAGGTATCTTTACTAGGTCTTTTATAAAATTATTTTTATAGATTTATTATTAGAATTATTATCTTTTTATATAGTACCTAAGTTATTAAAGTCTAATATATAAGGCTACTCCTCTTAGAAGTAAATGTTTAAAGATTAAATAAACTAGTTATTAAGGGTTAAGAGATAATAAATATAATTATCTTTATATCCTAAGAGCTATATATATAATAGCCTTAAGTCTATAAGCTTTTTAAGGACTATAGGAATTCTAGTTTAGAGATAGCCTTAAAACTTTAGGGGCTATAAAACTATTTACTCTTATATTACCTAAGGCTTAGATTAAAACTATATATTTATTAGTAACTAGCTAACTAAGTATAATAAAGCTCTTTTTCTCTTACTTTAATAATTTTTTAGGTTTAATCTATATAAAGTTAATAAGTATCTACTTAAAATAAGGACTTTTCCTAAGCTAGTTTATTTCTTAGCTAGCTAGTACAGAGGAGGGCTTCAAAAGTTATTGCTCACACTAGTAAAATAGCTTCTAAATGATCTGTAAAATACTAGCATCTTATATAGTCTATGTTTTTTAATTTAGAGGTAGTTATCCCTAACTCTAGTTAAAGGGTCACTAATATTTAGGGGCAGCTCCCCTAATCTACCTGCCATTCTTAACTAGAATTATAGGTATGCTGACTAAGCATCATTACCTCCTGTTACAGATAAAATACCACTAATTTGTTAGCATGTGCAATAACTTTTGAAGCCCTCCTCTGTAGAGTCTTTAGGTTCTTTTATCTTTACCTTTTCAAATACCTTTATAAAAAAGTAATTCTATTAGGTGTAATTAAGATAACTTCTAAATAGTTTATAATCTATAAATAGTAATCTATAAAATCTTAAAAGGTATTATTAGCTTTTAATACCTCTATTATAATTAGTTATTAAAGCTTAAGTATAATCTTTTAATAGAGCTCTTTTTTCTAATTATTTATATTAACCTTAGCTTCCTTTATTAGATAAAGGAACTTAATAAAGAAATTATAGAATTTATTACTAATTTTTATAAAATTTAAAATTTATATTTAATATTAATAAATTAATTTAGGTTATAAAAGAGTTATTTTAAATATTTAAGTATATTATCTAAGTCTTAATACTAATTTAGAGCTCCTTACTTAGATATTTTATATTTACTAGCGTCCTTTTTATAATAAGAAGCTATATAAATATATTAAAAAGAATTAAATAATTAGTATTATATTAAGCTTTATTAGTATAAGCTAGTTATTAAATTATAGGTTCTTTCTATTAAATAACTTTAAAGGGTTAAGAATCTTTATTAATTTATAATAGAACCTTCTATCTATATATTTCTATCTAAAGTTATAATATAGTTATCTTAGTAATTCTAATAATATATTAATTATATTAAGCTATTAGATTTTTAATTTTATATTCTTCTCTTTAAATTTTAGTCCTTAGTAAGAATAATACCTTTTTTTTTTCTTAAATATAAAGCTATTCCTTAGCTAGTTTAATTTTAAGATTATCAATTATATTCCTCTGCTTATTATTAATAAAATAGACTATTTCTTAAAGTTATTCTAGATTAGTATAGTAGTAGTTTAGGAATTTATTATATTCTACCTCTTATTTACCCCTAATTAAACTAGAGTATTAGGAAGGTTTTAAGGTTAATTCTTTAACTATTAGTTATATGACTTATACTGTTATAGCTTATTATTTCTTTAAATCTTAGGATTTATTTATTTAATTAGTTCTTTTAATTTAGGTAAAAAATGCTATTAAAAGGCTCTATATAAGTTAGTAATACTAATATATAAGGCTTATCTCTAACTACTTTAAAAGAAAAAAGATAAAAGGGAGCTTAGTCTAATATAATAAACCTAATCTCTAGATTACAGTACTAGGTCATTAGTTTCCATCCACCCCTCCTAAAATTGTATCCTCAAAATCAACCACTTATTTTAAATCTATATTTAATAAAATATAGCTCAAACATTAAATCCTAAGTAATTAAAAAATATATAATTTATATATAAATTTAAGGGTTTTAAAGATGACCTAACTTTAATCCTATATTATTATATAACTATAGAAGTAATAAAAAATTTAGATATCTTCTAAAAATATATTTTAAAGATAAAAATATATTAAACCTTAATATAAAGTTTTATTAATAATTAAGTTTATTTAATTATTATTTTAATTTAAATTTAGTACTAATTATTATGAAGCAAAGCTTATTTATAATAATCTAAGAAGGATAAGATACTATAAATAGAAGATTTAATAATATTAACAAGAATCTTTAGTTATTTATAAGTAGTTCTATTTTTAAAAAGAAATAAAGCTATTATACTAATAGTTATGATATAGAGTATAATCTTCTTTTTAGATTATAGGTAATTATATAGTATCTAGTAAAAGAAAGTCTTCTTTATACCCCTAAGGCTATAAAGGAAGAACTATATTATAGTAAAGCTTTTCTATATTTATTAAAAATTTTAGTTATAAGCTATATATTAGTATTATTAAGTAAAACCTTTTATTAAATGGTTAATTCTAAAGTAGATTAGTTATAAGCTAGTTCCTAAGTAATATAGAGATTAGTATCTAGATTTTAATAAGCCTAATTATTAATAAATTAAAAAAGGTTAGTCTTTAAATTAGTAGTCTTTATTTTATAAGTCTTTCTAAATAAAATATGTTATAATCTAAGTCTAGGTATTATAAGTTAAGAGGATATTAAAGACTAATTATAAATTACTTAAGTTATTATAAATATTATTATAAAACTAATTGTAGATAATATAAGTATTAATAAGACTACTATATATTATAGTAAAGACTAATAGCTATTATAAATACTATCCTATTTATATTTTATAGGCCTTTTAAAGTATAGCTCCTACTTATTTTCTTAAGTAATAATCCTTTAAATATAATAAGCCTTTAAAGTATTATATATTGTATTATTTATTATTTAGAGATCTTTAAAACTAGAGGGACTAAATATAATAATATAATAATAAAGAGGTATTAGAGGTAGTAAACTTCTTTTTAAAATAGTATAATAATATAGATATAACTAATCTAGTAAAAAGGTTTTTATTAAAGGAACTATTACCTCTTAAGGACTTAATATAATTAAATATTAAAAGCTAATAAAATTAAAAAAAATTAAAAGACTTACTTTTATATATTTTAAAAAATTAAAAAATCTTAAGAGATATTTTAATATATCTAGATTTAATATATAATATTTAAAAAATTTTATTAAGAGGTATTTTCTATTAATTAATAGCTTAAAGATTATTATTTATAATAATATCTATTTAATAAGTTATATCTATTAGAGAGATAAACTATTAAAGGCTTAAAGGATTATTTTTATAAATCCTAAGGTTATCTTTGTAAAGTAGTAAATAATTACTATAGAATCTTAATAATATTATTATATATAGTAAACCTTTTTATAAAAGATAGTAAAAAATAATGTAATTAATAGTATTAAGATCCTCTAAATCTTATAATTATACCTAAAGGTCTTAATAGAGTTTAATATAAATTAGAAGTACTTTAAATAGCCTATCTTAATAGCTAAATACATACTTATAATAAACTATTAAAATAAGGAGGCCTTATAATAGAGAGAATATTATATATATAAAGAAACTAATAATAAAATGCTTAGATAGTAATTAAAATATAGATAAGGTTTACCATATTAAGTAAGACTTTTAAATATTATTATATTAAAAGCTAATATCTTTTATTATATAATAGAGTATATAATATAGAGGTAGGTAGAATAGATACTAATAGTATATGTATATTAAATAATAACTATTATACTATTAGATATTATTTAATCCTTTATTAATATAATAGCCTAAACATTATTTATTAGCTTATTTACCTATATAAATTAAGGTAAAGCCTAATATAGATAAAATTAAATATTTTAGTAATTTAATTATCTTTATTTATTAGGAATTTTAAGAATAAAAGTTATTAGTTTATAACTTCCTATTTCTAAAAATAGATTATAAGTTTAGCTATTAATAGGATTAGAGATAAGATTTAACTAGGGGATTAATTATAAAAACTTTTATAGTCTAATGTTATTATAAGATCTTATAAGCCTAAATGAATATTTAATAATAGAGATTCTACTTATATAGGAATAGATTAAAGACTTTATTTATTAAAGGGAAAAGTAATTTTAAATCTAAATTTAAAGAGTCTTATTAGGGTTAAGGAAGTATAATTAAGTATAAATTAGGATATTACTATCTAATAGACCTTGAAAATAATAGATAATACCTTAAAATCAAAATATATAAGTACTTTATTAATAATCTAGTTAGTTATTTATCTAATAGCCTCTAAATATATAGGCTAAAGATAAATTAATTTAGTAAATATATTTATAGAATCTCTTTATTAAGGATATCTATAAAATAAATAATTTATAAAGAAGACCCTTAGGCTTAAGGGTTTATTATTAATCTTTAATTATTAAGCTACTATTATTATAATATATAGTAAACTAATAAATATTTAATCTATTTTTAAAGATAATCTTAGTCATCTAATAAAGAGTACTATATAAAAGATATTTAATCTTTATTTACCTTAACTTTAATAGCTTTTAATAATAAATAGATAAAAAGCTAAGAGTACTAAAATAATATTATAGGCTATTTAGACTAATTAATTATAAAAGATTTAGTAAGTATAATAATAGTAAAATACTTACCTTAAAAAGGGTCTTTTCTATAATTATTATATTTCTTAATAAAGGGAATTAAGTTATTAGAATAAAAACTCTATTAAGAAGTATAATAGTTAGTATAATATATATAATATTAAAAGGATCTATTAGAATAAACTAGCTATATTCTTATAAGGCCTTAAAGTAATAATAGGGTAATTTATATCTAGATCTTAATAGGCTATATAATAATAGGTATATTAAGAATAATACTAAGAGGCTAATAGGTTAACTATAATCTTTATATAGCTTAGAAGCTAGAATAGTATTATAAGAATCTTTATTTTAATAAACTATATAATAATTAATATATTAAGAATAGTATAAAGAAGTAGGTATAAGGTAGTTATAGTCTTTATAGAGCTATAGGGCTGAAAAGGCTTATTTAGACTTACTATAATAGTAAGATATATAATATATAAGATATTACAATACATCTAAGAGGTAGGGATAGGAGAGTAATAATCTAGATATGATTAAGTTATAAAAGGCCGATATTAAGTATTATTATATATATAAAATATAACTTATTCTAAGACTAAAGAGGGAGTAGCTAATTGTAAAAATAATAGATATTATTAGTAACAGAACTTATAAAGTAACCTATATTATAGATTAAAATAACTATAAATATCTAAAATAGGCTGGGGAGATAAAGGATATATATTAGGTTTAATAAGAAGGAATATAATAAGTAAAAGGCAAGATATTTAGAGAAAATAAAAAAGAAACTAAAGAGCTTTAAAGAGAGATATATTTTTAGACTAATGAATATAATTATTATTAAAGCTTAGAACTAATAAGAAAAAAAACCTAAAAATAAGACTACTATGTATTATATAAAGAGAAAGAAAGATTTATAAAA